TGTGAATTCAATACCCGGTTAAGGCAGTGGAAAACTTTCAGAGGGAAATTAGCAGGAGATAACTGATAACTGACATCCATCAAACATGGCACGTTGAACTAGAACAGTCTACCCCAGTGAGCGAAATAAAGGGTTCAGTTCGAAATGATAAATATGGCGACAAAGATGAGGACAATAGTCTGATTAATGTAAATAATGTACATAATACCTCATCTCAGAAATATAGACAAATTCAAGTGATTTTGTTAGCTTTACTGTATTTGTAGCAATATTATGACAACAAAAACTGAAGAAGGCCGGAGCGTACAACGGCCGAAACGTTGTGACAAATATGGCGACAAAGATGAAGACAATAGTCTGACTAATGTAAATACTGTACATAATACCTCATCTCAGAAATATAGACAGATTCTGAACAAAAACTTTATTAAACAGACAAAAATACTATCAGCATGAGTAGATTAGTAGAAGTTTTCAATAGTTTTTAATGGTCCCGAAAAAGAATTTTTCCCCTACTCCTTCATGGTTCTGTCTTAGATTACTACTCTTCTGTAACATTCTAAATGGCAGTCATCATGAATCACTAGTCACAGGACATAATTCAGTCTTATTTTTGATCTTCCATAGAATAAAAAAATTCCAACAGTTGGCAGCGAACTTTATATTTTTTGATTTTTTGTTATTTTATATCGAGTTCATCAGCATAGAACAAAATCTGAAATAGTTTTAAAATCATATTGTAAAAATATGTCTGTTTTTCAGAAACAAATAACCATCAGAGATTTCATGTTTCTGTGGAAACAAAAAATATACAGTACATTAAAATTAAGTATCAATGACTTTTTAGAAGTCTTCTTGAATTACCGTATTTGATGGCATATAAAGCACAATTTTTTTTTTTTACTAAAAATATCTTAAAATTCCCTTGCATCTTATACGCCATATGTAGGTTTAAAATTTGCGATAGTTGGCTGAAATTAGCTATCTGGCAACTCCTATTAGCTTAGACTTTAGAGTAACTTTCATATACATGTCGTTATTTAAAAGGCTATTATGTAGATTAAAAGTGTCATTTATCATTGATAAAATTCATTATATTAATTTCATCAAGTTTAATATTAGTACTTTGTTTCACTAAAATTATATGCAATAAATTCAAATTATATATTTGTAAAATATATTTGTTTCATTAATATTTTTTGTGATAACTTCTGGTTGCATGGGTATAAATACAATCAGAATTTTTATATCCTAATTATTCCAATAAAAAGTTCACAAGACGCAGGTTGTACAGATCCTATAAAGGATATTGTGAAGGTTGTGTTAATGGATTAAGTTGTATTGATCAATAATTGTTGAGTAAATTAGGCTGCGTGATGAAATTAACAATTTCCTCTCACATTAAATTTTAGTATTCAACAAACATAGAATAAGGACAACATGAGAAACAACAGTTTTTGCACAACAATGAATAAAATATTTATATAAACAAGAGATACAAAAACAACTGGAGTAAAAAAGGTGGTTTTAAAAAGTTCAAACGTCCTTTTATGTTTAGATGAAAAGTTATCAAAGTTCTGGTTTGATAGATTATAATTTGTTAAATGGTCTGTACAATAATGAGAAAGTGTTTTGGTATTATAGTAATTTAAGAAAAAAAATAAACAGTTCAAGTTTGTATTTGAAATAGAGAAATATTGTTTACGACTTACTTTAAGGTTTACGGAATTGTCGCTCTTTGATTTGTTTTCACTGGTTCGAAGAAAATATTCTAGTTGGGGTAAAAGTGGTTCTTAACAAGCTGTGTTTATGTTAATTGCAATAATTAACGTTGAGCTTGAAAGTGTATGAAAAAGCTTTGTGTATTAAGTTGAATGTGGAAAACTTGAGTTGATTGTTCATCATAAAATATTGCTGTTTGAATGAGTGTTCTCTCAGGCTGGAATCATGTTAAGGAACTTTAACATAAAACCTGGAACTGTGTGACAAGTTCAAAGGATTCCGATCAGTGCACTGTCGAAGATGAAAGACGTTTCATATTTTATTGCTAACTTTGGTCACATGATTGGCTCACAGAAGCTTGATAGATTTTGGCGGAATTATCTTTTTGGTCAGGTCAAGAACTAGGTCGATGTTATTAAATATTAAGTGACCAATTTAAAAGTTGAAAATATTTACTAAGCTGAATAAGCTCTGTGATCCACTTTTTGTACAAAAATTGATGTTGATAAAAAAAGTAGTAGCGGGATGCTAAAATATAATAAAGTTTTTAAAGGTAGTGTTCTTTTTTCCTATTATTTTTCATTTAATTGCAATTATGGCTCACTTAACCAAAATAATACCTCGTAAATATAGCCAGGGCTGTACCATTTACTAATAATTTTACTAATTACTAATTTTTTCTTGATTTTCCCTGCTGAAATTGGGGTGCATGTTATATGCCGACAAATACGGTATTTACTTAAGATTTCGGACCATATGAAAATAGGGTCCAAAATCTTAATGCAATCATAGACAATATTAAATATTTTTTAAAATTAAAAACTGAATTGAATTTAGCTTTATAAAAATGTAAAAATTAGGAACATACACAAGCTAAGTAAAAGCAATGTATAATTGACAGGAAAATACATTTTTCTTTTTAAAGTAATTTACTCCAAGCAAGGCAGGAGTGCCACTAGTACGCAAGAGGCTGCAAGAGAGTATAAGTAATGGAAAATACTAGGTATGGAAGATGGTTGAGGAAAGGATAAAAAAAAAAAATGATGAGGATCAAGGCAACAGAAGATGTCAATTGACATTACATTTAACACAAAACTTAAAATATAAAGAAAGATTCAATATAAAGGTTTATCACAGGTATGCTCATATGATTGAGTAAATAATCCATCACCATGATGTTGTGGGAATCAACACTTTGGAGAGTAAATATTTACAGGCTCCTGGAAAATTTATCCCACCAACAATATTGGTGGACTAATTGTAAGTCCAAGTAAAAATGTGTAACACAAAACAATATAAAACAAATGACAACTAATTTGCAATTTTTCATTGACAAAAAGGAATTACAATTACAATAAAATGAGAAGACATTTAAAGACTAGTTATATAGAAAACATTTAAATGAGAGAATGTATTTTTGTGTACGTGAAATTTGTGCAGACCTATGTGATAGACATGAGTATAAAAGAGTACAAAAAGTCAAGACAGGAAAGTAAAATCATGAAAATGAACGTGCCCCAGCGGGAGATATTTTTTTCCACGTGTGACTATATCTTATAGCCAAAAGCTGTAAAAGAGAAAAAAGACTAGGGAGACTTGTCTTTATATAGGCTTAAGAGTGCTTCCTCTTGATGCTTTTTTTGCAAAGTCAAGAAGGATAGCCTACAGATCATTCCTTAATAAATAAGTGGTCCATGAAATCATATAATTAGCTGATTCTGGTAAATTTTCAAGTACAAGGTGTATTGGTTTTTTTTCCCTCATTTAATATTTTTTTTTTTACACATTTTTTATATACATTTTGAATTATACATTTGGTTTGGCTAAAAAGAAAATTAAAATTTTCAGGACATATTACTTAAGCTTTGTTAATGCGTATTGCTTAGAGCTTAAATCCAGAATATCATGATGCTGAAGTCTGCATGGATATAAAAAAGGATGCTGAAAATTAGGGATTTACTGCCAACTGATGCTGCAGGAAGACAAAAATAAAACATTGAGCTGTTTCTATGTATATAAATTCTTGTCTTTTTTACTTAGAGACCATTTCGAAAGACTCAAATTTTTGCATCAAAATTTTTTTGGATGCACTGAAAAATACTGATCAGCAATAAATAAAATAAAATAAAATAAAAATGATAGAAATACAACTGCATGCTTCATAGCTGAGAAGCTTGTATATTTTCCATTGATACCTGACACCAGAATATCAAATCTTTCAAGGTAGGCAGATTTGCTCAGCCAGAAGTAGTACAATTCAACCTGACTATAACAAATTTAGTATAGTGATAAGGAAATTGAACAGAGAATATGCTGCTCAGAGTTAATTTTGCCCAGTCCTTATAGATGCTACACAACCAAAACTAAGAACTTGAATCCTATTCTTAAATATCCTCATCAGTCGAGGCTTTCATATAGATGTCATGCAAGGTGCCAAACTTGTTTAGAAATATGAAAAACTTGTCAGTTGTATGCAACAACATTTTCAGATCAATGGTTAAAAATGGTGTTGAGTGAATGAAACCTGTAGGTCTTAAAAAGGACCATACTTTTGTTTCTAACATCATGGACCAGCACTAGAGAATCACAAGCAATGAACTGTATCAAATAAAATATATCACTTGATGAATTCCAACTGCAACCACAACTAAAATGGAAAGCACATGTCACTTGAAGAAAAAAATAATGGCTTATCAAGATGTTGATATTCCACACCACCTCAAACAAAGTTAGGAAGGAAGACCACATCAATAGTGGAAAGAGTAATAACAGTTAGTGGACATGACAAACTTATTTTCTTGAAAAACTGTTTTAAGAGAATGTAGTGAAGAAAATGGCGACTTACCTCATCAAAACAAGTGACAATGTTGGAAAAGAAAGAAAGAGCGCATGTGACCATTTCTTCATATGTGAGAGTGTCATGTAAATTTTTGGTCACGACTCAACTAATCACTGATTTTTCAACCTAGATATAAACAGGTGCCGCATGTGGCTGGGGAATTGGTTCTATGATTGGTTACATGAAGTGAAGGAAGATTTCTTCTGACATGCAATGGCTGGATTGAACTTTATCCCCTCATAAAATTCTACTACAGAGAAAGATTTTATAAATTTCAAATGAAAGCAGCACTAGCTGCTTGATCAAATACTGAATGCTTCCTTACAAGGAAGCAATTACTATTAATACATTATACTTTACGTTACACAACAACTATTTAGCCCTGTATTGGATTTAAATTTAGTAAATAAGAAAACTGATTTTAAAGAAGATAATACACTTACTTCAACAAGAAGATTTTCTCCACAAACATCTTCATAAACTCCATGCACTCGAGAGTGATGTCGTCAGGTTGGCTTTCAATGCTATAGGTAGAGTCCCAGGACTGTTCCGATTCCATAGACAGAGAACGGTGGTAAGGTTCTCCACCAAATTCATCTCCAGATGAATCGATGCTCGAATGTCGGCCGGCCTCTCCGCCGTAACCTCCGTCAGAAGAATCGGGACTCACTCGGCGACGGTCGGTTTTTCGCTTGGCAGCGGTCGGTTTATGACGCCTTTCATTATATGCCCGCTGATCTTCCTCATCAAACGAAATCAGGTCTCCCATAGGCATCATCGTTCGTCGTCTGCTCGCTGTCTCTGCAGCCTCCAACGAAGGGGCTTCGGTTTGTTCCTCAGGTGGTTCAACATAATCGTCGAATAGCATTTCATCTACGGTGCTCGACCTGCGACGCCCAGAGGCAAACTTCCCTGACCGCTTATCAGACATCTCTCTATCAAGTTCTTCTGATGAAGGGGATCGAAGTATCCGCTCAGAGGGTTCCGATAATCTGCCACTGGTGACCCGTTGGCGGTCACTCAACTCCCTTTCTGTGTATTCTCCTAACCGTGGTGCTGATCTACGACCGGGCCGGTCAATAGGCTGGAAAGCAGATCTGTGTCTGTCAGCAGGAATAGGAGTTGGTTTTGCAATGTCGTGATCCGGTCTGTGGCGGTAATAATCTGATTCTCTGTCCGCCCTTTGTGTTTGCCTTCTGGCTGGTTCAGGTGCTACCTTCTGTGTATGTTTATCAGGTAATGGGGGTGCTGCTCTGTGACTGTGGTAGTATTCAGCCTCTGATGAAGGCGACCGAAGGACACTGCGTTCTGGATCATCAGTTACCCTCTGAGTTTGCCGAGAAACTCTAGGTCGGTCAGCAGGTTCCGGAGATGAATGCTGTTCATAGTAATCTGAACCCGATCTTTGACCACGCTGAGATGCAAGTGGAGGTGCTGTTCTTTGAGCGGGTTGCCGTGAAATAGGTTCATCAAATGATCTTTGACTATGGCGTTCTATAGACTCTCGATCTAATTTTTGTCCATATCTATCTGATTGATCATCAATAGATCTCTGGCTGTAGCGTTCGATCGAGTCTCTGTCTAACCTATGACCATCTTGTATAGATCGCTGACTATGAAGTTCAGTTGACCTCTGACTTCTGAGCGATGGAGTTGTCTTTGAACCTATTGAATCGTGGTAATCTTGGTCTATTCTTTGGCCGCGTCGTTGTGGTGGTTCGGGCGATGATCTTTGACTTCTTCGTTGGGCAGGTATGGGAGATGACCGCTGGCTACGGCGCTGTGCTGGTTCAGGACCAGTTCGCGGTTGCCCAGCAGCGCGCTGGCTAAGTTCAGCAGCTTCTTGATATCGTGGATCACGAGGATCACCAAAGCTTGATTTGTGTGGATCAGATAAATCAGTGGCTGATCTGTGTCGATCAGCTGGGTCTATACCCGACCTCTGCGGGTGTCTGCCCGAGTGATCAAGAGAGTCCTGACCAGGCCTTTGGCGGTCTGAGATCTCTTGACCTTTAGGTCCATATCTATCCACTGATTCTTGGCTAGCTCTTTGACCACGGTGGTCAACTGGCTCTTGTCCAGACCTATGGCGTTCAGTAAGTTCCTGACTTCCTCTTGATGTGCGACGAGTTACTGATTCCTGACCTGGTCTTTGATCTCTGAGGCGTTCGTGTTGATCCTGTCCTCGTTCAGTGATACTTAAGTCTTTTCCAGATCGTGATAATCGACGTTCAACTGGCTCTGGTTTTGATCTTTGCGTTGGCGAAGATCTGGAACTGTGACGTTCTGTTGGCTGGGGAGAGGCTCTTTGTCTGTCACTTGGAGTTTTTTGTGGTTGCCGTTCTGACTGAGGTTGGGGTGTTTTTCGACCAGGAGCAGTTGGACGATCACTCGGACCTCCTGGTCTTTGACCACGACGTTCTCCTGGCTTTTGCCTTTCGGCTGGAGTGGGAGATGACCTTTGTCCTTGTTCAGCAGAAGGAGACGACCGTTGACTTTGTCTCTCAGCAGCAGTTTTTGGGATGGGTCTTTCCGTGGGCTTCTGGCCTGGATATCTTTCTCCGGTTGACTGTCCGGGTTTTTGTGCAAGTTTCGGTTGACCAGAGCTGCCTAATCGAGATTCTTGCAGAGTATCTCGTAAACTATCATCTTGGGCGGTGCCACTGCCATTATGTTCTCTTAAATCTCTTCGAGAAGAAAGAGGTTCTGTTTTTTCGGGCACTTTATGTGGAACACCAGTTGTTGGTGGAGGGGTTGATTTCAGTGCTACTGGGACACCGATTCTAGGTGTGTGAAGTCCTTGTTGCCTAGCAAGTTTGGGATCAGGCAATACAGGAGGAAACCCTTGTTGAGGAGTGATACCCCGTGGCTGGTTGCCTGGAAGTACAGGGGGAAAACCTAAAGGACGTTGTTGCCCTTGAGGTGTAGGATGCTGTGGTGGTACGTTTCTTGGTGGATTCCTGTTGAAAGCCGGCGGGGGTGCTGATGGTACTTCTTCACCTTTTATTAAAGAATCAACTTTGTTGGAAAGGTCACTAAATATGCCGTCCTTTTTGGCAGAAACTGAGCTAAGAAAATTTGATGTTCCTGTAAAGAAGCTGGAACCAAAGCCGGCGGTAATAGGATTTGTTGGAGCTTTCTTCCCTAAGAAACCGAAATCCATTCTAACTCACATCCACGCCTCAACAATATCACACCATGGGTTTGGAAACGATTCAAAGTTACCCTACAAAGACAAAAGAAAAAAAAGCAATATTAAATGTAGTCAATACAGAAAGACATTATCTCAGTTTCTATACAAAAGTTTTGAAAAAAATGAACAGTGTACATACAAAAAGAATTTTTCTTTTTAATCATTTCACCCCAAGCAAGCTGAAAATGCCACTAGTATGCAGGGTATTACAGGGAGTGAAAGTGAGAGAAAAAACTGAATATAGGGAGGATTGAGGAAAGGACAGAAGATGAATGGGATTCAAGAAGATGGTGATTGATGTTGCATTTAAATTTTTGAAGATTGTATTTATCAGGGAAACAAGTAAACAGAAGTGCAAGAAAAGAAACTGTTGGAGTAGAAATGGTGGATGCATTTAGCTATTTCAACAGTAAGCAGGTAGAACCTAGTAGCATGCTTAAATTCAAATATTCAGGGCACCATGGAAAAAAGCTATTCAGAGTAGCTGCCATGAAAATATTTGTAGAAAAGACAGAAGGAAGCCAGGTTACATTGGTGAGAAAGTGACTGAAATTGAGATGTCAAGTCAGGGTTGATTACATTACGGATCCTTCTTTGGATTTTGTCAAGAACCTTGAGATGAATAGCAGGAGCATAAGACCAGATATGCCAACAGTATTCAATGCATGGATGAATGATAGATTTACAAATGTGCAAGATGGCCTCTGATGAGAAAAATTTTCTGGCACAACACAGTGACCCAACTTTCCTTGCAGTAGATGGAGCTATTGATTTGAAGTAGTCACTTCACTTCAAGTCATTTGAAAACATGAGGCCAAGAAGGGACAATCTGTTGCTCTCCAGCTGTTTAATGTCAGCCATATTGATGGTAGGCAGAATAGTTTATGTAAAACTTTTGCAGCTATTCTCTTTGAGCAGTACTTATGATTGCTGCATATACAGGCCTAATGAGGTTATTACAATGAAGAAAGTGAAATCCAGGTTTGAGGAAAAATGATTTTTATTTTTATGCTCAAATTCTCTGAAGTCTTGGGTATTACCCCCACCATGCACACAGACTTGTCCAAAGTGTATGCAGCTGCTTAAAATTTCCTGAAAATTAGTTTTAACTTGGCAATCAATCAAATAAAACATTACTGTGGTTGCACTCTCTAATGTGGTTACTCAGTCCAAAGTTACATGTCACGGAGTAATCTTGTGTGTTACGTAACCATTGCATTGATAATAACTGAGTGAATAGTGTATTCAAATCTTGTGTAGATTTTTTCATATTGCCTAAGTTTTTAACCTTCACTACAATCCAGATTTGGCTTCGTATAGCTTCTGGCTTTTTTGAAAGCAAAAATTGACACTGAAAAGCTGTAGATGAGATTAAGGATCCCTAACGGTGATTCTGCATACTGAGCCTAAAATTGGAAAGGACATTGGAATAAGTGTCTTTGAGATCTAAAGAAGTGTGCTTCAAATGAGACAAAGATTCTATTTTTTTTTTTTAATCATTTCACTCCAAGCAAGGTGATAATGCCACTAAGATGCATGTGCCTACAGGAAGTGAAAGAGAATGAGAATACATTGTAAGGAACTGGAAACACAATCGGAAACAGGGGATAAACTATTACTCCTGTTCAAAAGACCAGGACAGAAGATTAGAACTCTTGAGAAAGATGGCTTATTTGCTTGAGATTTCTGAGATTAGTCCTTACCCTTTGAAAAAATGTTCAGACCATTTTTTAGTTTCGTAAAAAAAAAAAAAAAGAAAAAAAAAAGTTTCCTCTTCCTATATTGTACCTCCTTCTATATTGAATAAATGTCTCCAAATCAAAGTTCAAATTTGGTTTCTTGCACAATGGTAGTTGATTACATGATAGAGGAAGAAATCCCTGTGATATACCCTCACAAGTTTACATATTTGGGTTTTCTTAGTTTCAGAATCTCCATGAATATCTCTTAAAAGAAAAACATCAAGAAAATTCTATGCAAAATCAGGTACTGAAAAGGTTTGATTATGGAATTATTATTGTTTTTTTTTTCGTTTTTTTTTTAACAATTTAGCTGATTATCTTAGTTTCTGTTATGTCCATTTGTCTTTTGCATCACCATTTACATTTTTCTCATCTTCTCAGCAATTATGCCACATTAATTAGCATGGAAAGTAGAAATGGCAAACCAAAATCAAATTTTGGGCTACTCTATGACATTCACTTTCATGCAAATACTTTTAGAAAAGCATGAATTCTCTTTGCTCCCAGCTATGGGTTAAATAGCAGAGAAGACTGAGTTCTCTCACTTTGAGTGTTAACTAGTCTAAGAGAATGACAACACTGAATTCAAAACCAGACTGAAAAGAGACAGCCTGACAGAGACCATCTTGTTCTAGACACACCCACTGCTGCTACAGCTGCAGTACATGTAGCACACATATGATCTTAATGGATTACAAAACTCCTGATTGTGATAAACAAGATGGAATTAAATGGCAGTTTTACTCTAACAAAATTTTCAGGCAAATCCAGAAAATCACCTATTTTTAACAAGGATTCCACTATACCTTGCTTCGTGATATAGAAGATTTTAACAGTCATAAATAGTTAAGCTTAAAATCTCCAGTTTGCTTGAACATTCACTTCTGTACAAACTCATATATGCAGCTTCTTTCACTTTACAAACTTCCCAGGTATAAAAACCGCCAAATACAGCACAAAGGATAAAACAAACAAGGAACATATCAGCCAAAACACTGTATTAAAAACAACAGTGTTGTAACCGAGTTATCCTGAACAACAGTAGAAAACTGGAATTGGTTTAACAAGTTTATTACCTTTTGGTACAGGGAAACACAATGTGTAGCTGCAAATCAAAAGAAACTGCTCCTCCTGCTAATCCTCTTGATGTGGGGTAACAGTGTTGAGTTCAAACTTTGGAAATATTCTCCCTCACAACACAAAGATACTAGTGTGAAAAACATAGGATAAGTAGAAAACAGTTTAAAAAGGAATTCAATTAAAACAAGTTTATTAATCCCTTTTGGTACATGGATCTCAATGACTTTCTATCCTTTATAACTCTAAACAATGTTCTCTTACTATATCTCCCAGAATCCATATAAAAACTCATTGGGATTAGAGAATGTTTAGCTGCAAATCAATGTATTTCTAGAAATTACAACTGTCATTTCTAATTCTAAAGTAAAAAGTATCCTTTTCTTCCATTATCCTTAAACTTTCTCATTATTCACCGGTTTCATGCCTACTCAGCATCCTTCTAAAACATTTCTGTTTGATGAATTTATCAGCATTCACTTCCATATAGGAGGATTGGGCATTCTTTTCTTTCTTTCAATATGTTTCTTATTTTATGTTTTATTTGCTATTCCAACATTCGAGTTATTGAAAGTTAAAACTTTATTTTGGCCTCCAAAAAAGTTCTCCTCTACACAACACAAAAGATACTCATGATATTTATTGTAAAATACACAGGATTGTGAGGCTGGTCAATATCTTATAGGTTTAAAACCCAGTCCTCATTACAATGGCATTCACCATAAAAACTCGTCCATACAATCAATCCTTCATAATAAACATCCTCTAAAAAAAATGCACCCCATGTTAAATTAAAGGATAAAATACACATGTACAATTCTTAATAAATGGGCAATAACAAAATAACACAAAATAAATTATAACTGATGTTATAAAAATACAGGGAGGTCTGCTGTATTCGTTGGGACTGGAGCACTCTCACTGAGTGGGGCTGATGAGAAAATCAATTCACTTTCCATTTCTACCTTATCCAGTTTTCTTTCTGTGTCAATCATCAATGAGTCATTTGCATAAAGTTGTTAAAGGTCTACTGATAAATCATGCAAGGTTGAAATGTGCAGATTGAAAGAGAGGTAAGAAAAAGATACAGCTTCATTTTGGAGCAATCCTGCAAACATGAGAAAAACTTCACGCCATCAATGCCCCAGTCAAAGTTCAGCCGAATGAAACAGGAAGGTCTGCAAAGGTCCACATAAGAAGTGGGTCAAAATACAATAAATCTTTGCAAATTCAAACCACAATAATATTTATGACACTGCAGATCATGTCAGCTCCCTTTTTAAAATCATTCTATGATACATTCCTTTGCTTTTGAGATATCATGGAATGACCACATTTAGTAAGCATGCACTCTCTGATTTTAAACTTTTTCCTAGACTTGAATGACATTCACTAGTCTCTTATAACCGATTTATAGAGCCTGTACACATAATGAGGAATAAGGGCCTAGAGAATCTGATACTCACAAGTCAAATAGAGGGAAAGAGAGACAAGGGAAAACAACGCATGACATACCTAACAGCCTTAAGCAAGTGGATGACAGAACATGGTCTGGGGGAGGTTGCAGAGGGTAGGAACTTGTTGAGAGCTGTGAGGCATAGAGGGAGGTGGAGAACCATGATTGCCTACGTCCTGAAAGGACATGGCACATAAAGAGAAAGAACAATTGGGGAAAACACAATCTCCATTTGCAAAATCAAAACTTAATATATCTGATTTATTAACCTCTTGCTAACAAATCAAATTAAGCTAAGCAATCAAAATAATCATCTTAAATATATCAGCAAAAGCATTATTAAGGTTGATCTCTCGTAAGAAGGATGTAAATTGTACAACATGACACAAGGTTAAATAAAAAGGCGGCATGGCATTGTTGATTCCAATCATTCTTCCATTTAATCTTCATTATTGCGGTTATCAACAAATCTAATGAATTGAATTTTGATCTTAATTTACACAAATTCTATATTCAAACCTGATTTCATAGAGTTCATTATTATGTAAAGTGATGATAATTTTTTTGTTTTTAATGTAAGTGCAGTACCAGACGGGTGTCAAGATCTCATCAATTTACAGTTAAACTAGCTTGATATAACTGTAAATTCTATGCTAACAGTTTCTTTCTCACACTTCTCCCTTGTGGAACTCCCT